TTTCCAGGTGTGGGTTTGGTCAAAGGCCAAATTCAATAGGAAATTCCTCATGGAAGAACTCTACCAGTGCTTCCGAGATGGAGGGGACAGCCCCGTGGCTGGAACCCCACGAAGGTGGCACACGTGGGCTCGGCCCCGCTCTGGCTCCAGGCGCTGGCCCACTGCAGGTGGAGTCTCTGAGCTGCCATGGGCTGGACGTGGCGGTCCTGCACGTCCGCATCGTCCCAGCCCCCGGCAGGACAGCCTTATTCTGGGTTGGGTGTACAGGGAAAATCCAGAGCAAGCCTGAGCCTTCTGAGGTGGGGTTAATTTATGATTTGGCCTCAAATGCTACCAGGTGGCTCAGCCCTGCCGTACACAGGTGAAGTGGGTAGAGGGGTAGAGGGGCCCTGTCCACCGCTCACAGGTTGGCCTGCCCTCCCCATACTGAGCCGAGCCAGAAGCACAACCCTGATTCTCCAGAGGCTTGGCTGTCCCTTTATTCCTGTTCTCATGGCCAGAGCACGTCTGTTTCCCATCTGTGCTGTTCCCTGAACTTCTGTGAGCACTGTGACCTAAATTCTGCTCCACTGTGTTTTAGTCAGCCTTCACATGGGTGTTTTCTCTTTGGGCCACGTGGTTTATACAAAAGTGCTAGTCAATGAGCAATCCTAAACCAAGAGGCTCGAAGGCTGGGGCCTAGCATAGTGCTCTACTGCTTGGGCTTCCACTGCTAGCATTTTGCTGGTTACTTGGAGATGAGTCTGGTTTCAAACCACAATTCTCAGATCTCAGCCTTGAGAGTATCCAGGCTTTCAGGCATGAGCCACTGACCTTTCTCTTACTGAAAGGGAAACCTGCACTAGGAGGGAGGGTGTGGGAAACCTCTGTTTCTAGGACATCCTGGCCACTCGGCTGCCTTGGCCTTCTAGCTGCTCTGTGGTTACCACGCAGGGGATCTCAGGCGGTGGGCTTGAGTGAGCTGAGAGGGAGGCAAGAGCCGCACAGACATTACTGCCCAGGCTGGCTTCGAATCATGATCCTCAGGTTTCAGCCTCCTGAGTAAGCTAGGATTACAGAAGTGAACCTCTGGCACCTGGCTAAGACAAAATCTTTTTTCGTTTAGTTTGAGGCTGGGACTCAGACTTGTAGCTGACACTTCCATACCTCCAACCCCAAGACAAACTTATTAATAAGTTTATATCTATCTAGTACAATAGTATTTTTTTCTTCCACCCTGTGAGCCTTCTTTGGAGGGGTCATATTGGTGCCATAAATCTGCTGATATATGCAGATACAGGACTCCACCAAAGCAAAGTAGAACAGCATGGAGACACCTGGGGATGCGGGTAAGTAATAATGCCTTCCCCTTGACCTCAGCCCTTAAGCCTTCCAGTGCACAGAAGGTATTGGGGAACACAACACAATTGCCATCAGCCAGGGAGCAGGACCTCAAGTGCGGCCCGAGCTGGCCAGAGCTCTGAAGGTGTTCTACCAAAGCATGAGGTCAGTGTCTGCGGCTGCGGCAGCGAACGCTTCCTCTAAGTAGCGAGCACCCTGGGAGCTGCCACCCGCTGTCACTCCTCACCGCATTGCTGAGTCCATGGTGATGGGACTCAGGTGGCAAAACTGTCCAGCACAGCAAGGAAGTGTCACACAGGCCAGGTGGCGCTGGGGGGATGGTGGCGAAGCGGAGCCAGGCCCCTCCTTGAGCAGGTGCTCACTGTACCCACACCCAAACATGGTTTTGGTCCTCTTTTTTTTTTTTTGTCAGTCTTGGGGCTTGAACTCTTTTGGTCCTCTTTTGTATGTGTGTGTGTGTGTGTGTGTGTGTGTGTGTCACAATAATAATTTTAAAAGGGAATACTCACTAGACAAAAAGATAGAACGAAGTTAAAAATAACTCATGTCTGGGACAGTCAGTTGGTACTCGAGTTGAATAGTCTTACCTGAATTCTTAGAACCAGAAGTATTTCAGATTTAGAGTTTTTAGAATTTTGGAATATTCTCATAAAAATACTGACTCCAAAAATCTGAGATCCTCCAGAAACTGGCACTCTTTTTTTTTTTTTTGGTGATGAATATTTCCACATTTTTTTCTTTTCTTTTTTCTTTTATTGTGAAAATACTGTACAGAGGGGTTACAATTACATGGGCAAGATAATGAGTACATTTCTTATCAAGCACTGTAGCCTCCTCCTTTGTTTCCCCTTCCCATCCTCACCCCCCCCTGCCCCCCCCCCCAATTCTCCCCGTGCGCCCCCCCTCCCCCGCACCAAAGTTGTAAAGTTCAAACCTGGCACTCTTGACTGCCAGCCTGTACCTATCATCAAGTATTTAGTATACACAACATTAAACAATTCCTTTTAGCCAGTCATGGGAGGCTCAAGAGGCTAAGATTTGAATATTGCGGTTCAAAGCCAGCCCAAGCAGGAAGTCTATGAGACGCTTATCTCCAATTAAGCACCAAAAAGCAAGAAGTGGATCTGTGGCTCAAGTGGTAGAGTGCTTTCCTTGAGTGAAAAAGCTCAGGGGCAGTGATAGGCCCTGAGTTCAAGCCCAGGAATTGGCACACACACACACAAAATCCAAATAATTACTTCTACAATGGAGGCAGACAACACGAAGAGGAATTTCACTATTCCAGTGCCACTCTCACTGAGTGTGCCGCTCTCCACTCGGGGACCTGCTTCACACCCACGGTTCTTCTGCTCTCCTCAGAGCGCCCACAATACATCAAGATGACAGTATCTGCTCACCGTGTTTTGGTATTCAGGGGCTCCTGGGTGAGTTCCTGACTCTGCCACCAACTTCCACACAATTTCCAGAAGAAGAGAAGACTTAGGAGGCACCCACTTAGATACAAAGTATTTTTTTCATTGAAATGATACCAAGTCTATCATTCTTTTCTTTTTTAGGAAGATGATCCAATGCTCCGGCCATTTGTACACCTACAGTTCCAGATGCAAAAGGATTTTGGGGACCTGTTTGCATCCAGCTTGTGGAAACTGAAAAATGACATTGCACTTATAGTGAAAAAGATGAGCCTATTTGTTGTGTATGACATAGTGAGGATATGCGGCATAAAAAACTGCATGTTTGGAAGTGGCGCTGTGGCTCAAGCGGTAGAGCGCTCGCCTTGAGCTGAAGAGCTGAGGGACAGCGCCCAGGCCCAGAGTTCAGGAAAGAAAGAAAGAGAAAACCCCCTGCACGCTTGAGCTGTGTTGTGAAGATGAGTTGTCGCTAGCGGGCCTAGCTGACCTGTGCTTCTCACTGCACCTGGCTTGTCCACTGGTTTTAAGTCGTTTACTTTGTTTTTGAGACAAGGTCTCACTGTGTGTGTATCTCAGGCTGGCTGTGAGGACTACGTCCTGACCATCACCTGCCTGGCCTCAACTGGACCGTGAGCTATGAGAAACCAACCTGCATGCGGGATGAAAGTGAGACCTAAGGTCAGCACTCCGAACTCCTGGCTCAATCCTGGATTGAGACATTCAATAGTTATTAGCTGGGCATTGGTGGCTCATGCCTGTAATCCTAGCTACTCAGATTTGAGGATCGTGGTTCAAAGCCAGCTGGGGCAAGGGCGTCCTTGAGACTCTTATCTCCAGTTAACCACAAGAAAACCAGATGTGGAGCTATGGCTCAAAGTGGTAGAGGGCTTACCTTGAGCTGAAGAGCTCAGAGACAGCGCCCATGCCGAGTTCAAGCCCCATGACTGACAAAAACAAAACAAAAATGCAACAACAACAACAAAACCCCCAAAAAACTCACAAACAACTCTCTGACGTTCTTGTTAGGCCTGTATACAGACAATGATTATTTTGTGTTTCTAAGCGTGAATTCCACCCGAGATTTTTTTCTCTTTTCGTGGCTTCATCTGAAACACAGCAGCTTGTTGGGTGGTATTACTTCCAGCACCAGGGTCTGTGGGTGCAGAGATCCTGACTACAGTGAGCTCATCAGCCAGGATGAGATCATCCTGAAGCTGAGTTGGGACCTACAAGTTGGTTGCTAGGGATTAGTTAGGGCAGATGCGGAGAGCTCTGTATTGAATCTTGACAAGAGTTGTCTGTTAGTATTTTTAGTGCTCAGTAAGAAGGGGGTTCAGGTAGGCAGCACTACCTCTGAGGCCCTGTGCCCCTTCTTGGTAGAAATGAGCCATTCTGGAAAATGGTATAAAAATGAAATTAGCATACAATCCAGCAAAACCCAGCGTCTCCCCAAAGAATTGGCGTGGGCATGGCAGAGCTGCGTCCAAGCTCACTGCAAAGTAAGCCAGGCCACACACGGGTCACCCCAGAGCTCACAGAGTGGGCCTAGAGTGCTGGTCTGGAGGGGAGTGCAGAGCAGGTGAAAGCAATGAGTCCGGTGCTCCATCCCGCAGAAGACCAGCGATAGCTAGCAGGAAAGTACATTTCAGAACGGCTGGGAGAGGATCTTAAATGTCCTCAACTCACAGACACGGCATTTAAGGTGTGGGTGTGCTGTTATGCCTCAACTCCATCTTCCACAACATGTGCTTATATCAGCCTATAGATATTTGTAAATTTAAAATTAAAATATTTTGACATAAATTTTAAAAACAACGCAATGTCCCTCTTCAAGTTGGGCGCGCTGGCTGCTTCTAGACAGCAGGTGTCCCGAGGGAAATGCACCTGTTCAGAGCAGAAGCTCTGCCGGCGCTTAACACTGTGGTTAGCAAGGGGTTATAAAGATATATATATATATCTTTATAAAGATATAAAGATATATATATCTTTATAAAGATATAAAAAATATATATCTTTATAAAGATATAAAGCTTTTTGCCCTATTTTAGGGCTTCAGGGCCAAGCCTGGGTTAAAATACAAAATGGAATTTTGAGAAAAATTCTGCTTAGACAGTGAAGATGAATAGAAATGTAAAGCTGATCATAGGGATAGAACCAGGGAAAGAATGTCAAGCCCATTTATAGACAGATCACTTGAAACAACACCTGTCTAGTGCTATACAACACAGGCCCAAACAAAAACCATCATTCAAATTGACAACTCTTTATTATTCAACTTGGCAAACAGTCCAAAATCAGCGTAGATGGGTAAGAAACCAGGCCAAAATAGAAAAAAAAAAAGTGGAATCCATTTAGCAAAAGCTCACACACACTGCAGCTCTAGAAACTCACTGGGGAGACCACCCCACTCCATGGAGGCCAGGTGAGCAACGGCCACTGCCACAGCCGCACCAGCCCGAGAGCCTCTCCAAGGACCACTCGGCAGCACCAACAGGGGCCCTGCCGCCTCGCCCACTCACCGCCAGCCCACCAGGAACACGTCAATGAAAAAGTGAGGCGATGCTAGTTTTCTTTCATAAGCAATAAAATCAGCTGAGATTTGAAGTTCAGAGTAAGTTAGTACAATTTCCTGCTTTTAATGTGTAGATTTTACACTTTGGCAATCATCTCCACATACAGTCAGACAGGCTTATAGAAGAATCTCACATATCAAATACAGGAGCTGTTAATTCATGCATTTAATGACTTCAGTTCTTCAACTGTTTAGACTTCAGAGCTGCTAATCACACTAAATTCAATACCATGCTGGTTGAGTCTGTCAATCAACCTTGTTCTGGAGAAAGCGGCTCCGGGTGTGAAGACCCCGCCCCTGTAACACAGGAACAGGAGGACGGTGATGGCACCGTACCGGTCCTCTCCCTGGAGGACCAGGAAACCTGCACAACTCCTGAAAAGCTGAGTCTGTACTTTGGTGGCTGCTTCTGGTGCTAACCCTAAAGCCAGCCAAAGGAGCAAATAGCTACGGACTGAGAAGCCAGAGCTCCAGCCAGCCCTGCCGAGGTCCCTCCGGCTGTGGAGCCCGGCCCTGCAGTCAGCTCGGGGTGGTTATTACCATAGGACTTGAACTGGATTCACTGACCCCAAACAGAACGGGTAGATTTTGCTACATATTATTATTTTCATTACCTAATCTTCAATTATGCATGTGTGACTTTCCAGCGGCAAGCCTATGGCTTGGTTTTAGGGCGGCAGCTAATGCTCTACAAAGCTGGTACAGCTGGTAATGGGCCCAGGATCCCTGCTCTGCTCCAGAACTGGAAGAAGCCTGTAAACACTCCTCAGAAAGGAAAGGACTTTTCTGCAGGGCTGAGGCAAGCCTGAGATGTTTCAGCAGGAACTGTCGCCCATTTACCTGGCCCTCAGTCTCTCTGTCTTGCGCAGTTATTCCCAGAGGCCACTATGCTAGAGTCCACTATGCTAACCAGCGTTTGCATGCAAAGAACTATGAGTGCTATGCGCAGTTCCCAAACTTGCCAACCAATTCAAGATATGCAATATCCTATGGACAGAAAAGCTATCTTCTAACCAGGAAAAAACCCCAAACTTACCCCTTAGGAAGGTCAGAGACATCATTCAGAAGAGTCATGGCTGCCTGGACCATGGCTATGGGTGTGGCTGCATAGCCAGCCTCTGCAGAAAACAACAGTAACGGAAGAAGAAAGTGTGTGTGAACGACACACAACCAAATGGAAGATCTAGATCCAACTTTAGGTTGGAATTTATTTGTTAATTTTAACTTTTTGCCAGGTCGTGGGCTTTAACTCAGGGCCTGGACACTGACCGCTTTTTTTTTTTTGGTCCGGTCGTGGGGCCTGAACTGGGCCTGGGCGCTGTCCCTCAGCTCTTCAGCTCAAGGCTAGCGCTCTACCACTTGAGCCACAGCGCCACTTCCGGCTTTTGTCTTTTTGCTTATGTGGTGCTGAGGAATCCAACCCAGGGCCTCAGGCATGCGAGGCAAGCGCTCTACCACGGAGCCACCTTCCCAGCCCGTTATTGTTTTACCGGGCTTGGGGCTTGAACTCAGGGCCAGAGACTCTTTTTGCTCAAGGCTAGTGCTCCACCACTTGAGCCACAGCGCCACTTCCGGCTTTTTTCTTTTTGCTTATGTGGTGCTGAGGAATCCAACCCAGGGCCTCAGGCATGCAAGGCAAGTGCTCTA